ACGCATCTGAAGGGCCGATCCCAAGATGCCTCGGACTCTGTCCGACCACGCCATCAATGGCATGCAGCGCCTGCTTCGCAACGAGAGCAGTGCTCAGTGGTTTACGTGCCACTTCACGTGTATCAGGGTGGCCTCGCCTTCGATGCCTCGGCCCTTGGCCAACCATGTCACGCATGACATGCAGCGACTGCTCTGAAACTTGAGCAACACTCAGTGGGTTACGTGCCACTCCACGATCAGCCACGCTCGGGACTCCTGTCCGATACACCATTGGTGTCTACCAACTCGGACATTCCAATGTCTAGCACGCTGACCGCCTCGGTCCAGTGCTCTCGCCAATAGCGCTTTTGTCTCCTAGCAGAGCTGGGTTCATGACTTGCCAAAGCCCCACCAGGAGACGTGCGCGTAGCACCCAAGGTCTTTGACCTCCAATCAATCCATGGCTCATGGTGTTCCAACCATGCCATTTCTAGGATGAGGTGATACCCTGCATCCAGGTTAAGACTAGACAGCGATCCACGCTATCAAAGTCAAGAAACTTGACTCCGATGTTCACAGGGACCTTCGGGACCGTGCCACGCGTCCCTGTCGCTAGGCAAACAGTGAAGATGTCACCCGACCGCGCTTTCAGCACCTCAGCATACAGCTGACTTCCCTCCATTGTGGGAGCGTCGAGCATAATTGCCCGACGTCCCAGTATCGATGAGGATTTTCCATGGCTTCTTGAAGCCCTTTACGGTCGCCTCCACGACCAGCAAGCCCGGCTGCATACACGTTCCGTGTTTAAGAGCATGGAGCTCTTCGGGGCTGGGCCCTGTTGATCTATGCCTCCCTGATGCTCGACAGAGCTCAGTTCTTCCCGACTAGGTCACCCCGAGCCTACTGAGTGGTGTCGTTTCCCCGCGACGAACCAGACTGGTAGGCGTTGGGGCGATGGTTCGAAGAACCTTGACGCGCCTTGGGCAGGGGGCAATTGTTCCGAAAGGTGACGGGTGTCTCCACAGACAAAACACCGACGAATGTGTGTATGCTGCCCGGCAG